TCTCTTCCTTCCCCTCTCTCTCTCTCTGTTTGCTTCGTGGTAACACGATATCTCGCGGCTCTTTATGGGATACGGTTACGCAATATCGCTGCAGGAGCGACCGGCAATCGTCTACAGCGACGCTGCACCCGCAGACACGAATCTCCGAGCGTTAACGTGATATAACTGTTTACGAAATCGTACGGGACGCGTAAACTTCGCCGCGGGGACACGTGTCGGCGTATCTCCGCGGGAAATACGAGAACCAATGATTCGCGAATTCGAGCATCGTTCTACTGGAGACACCTTGCATTCACGGTGCTCTACTTCTACGGTATCCCCCCCGATTCCAGCTTTGTTTGCATATAATCTTACGCCTCGAATAATCAGATCCTTATCTTGCGAAACGCATAAACTTTGTAGTTTGTACACGTAACACGTGCATTCTGTCTACCGTGGCTCATTCCTTTTTTGCGCTAGTGTGCCTAGTTACGTAAGAAAAACGCATTGTCATTGTTCTTGTTATTACTGCCGGAGAATGGAAACTTGATCCACCCTCGGTGTATCTAGTTATGATCGAAAAGCGGCTGCACTGGAATTTTTATAGATCCCAGTGATTGTGCTTAAAGCGTCCATTGGAAATAAGGTTGTCCTGCTAGAAAAGAATTCGTGAATTAAACTGCATGCTCGGAAAAGACTATTCTCTACTTTCTAGAACATTCTACGCTATATCCTAATGCATATACCAGTGGTTAATGTCTATCGAAGGATCAACTGCAATCAACGAGGTATTCTTAGTAACTTTTCTATACTAATAGCGGTAATCGCTATCTCAAATAGATCTCTTTAACGATACAGCGCAGACGTTGAGAGATCCATTAATCACAGAAGGTAGGTGAGACGATTGACCAACAATAGATCTCTATTTACACTGATCGCGGGATCGTTTCCCGCGCGAAAAGATAGGCATTATCGCGGTGGATAAGGGCGACGCTCCCGGTATCGTGTGAAAGCGGAGAGATTAAAGCGTACCGAAAAAAAAGGGGAGCGACGACGTAACATTATCTCGCGTGTCCCGATGCGAATAAGAGATACGCGTCGTTCGCTCCGGTTTCGATGCGTCTATCGTCTTCGCGCGTCCTCCACGGCGCCGGGTAAAATCGGCGGCGATAAAAGGGATCGTTGGTTCGGCGGCCGTGACTCGCGGGGACGGAACGGTACGAGATGCGTCGCAGTAAACCGAACGAAAATAGGTGAGATCAATCCAGAGAAATATTGGCCAACGCTAGCCCGAGGACTGTTTTACGATCAACGGGGCATAAACGCAGCCTTACAACCGCATTATTTTTACACCGAACCAGTTTCAATTTATAAAAGGATTTGGACCGACTTATCCCGATAATACATCCGAGCAGGATGTAATTTACAGTAGCACTGATATTATTAACTCGTAAGCTGCCACGGTCAGCGTCTGCGGCTTGCGGGTATATATCACTGCGACTTCATTGGCCGCGCGGACGAGATATCGGGGTTAAGCTCGTAGAATTTATATGGAAACCATAGGAAAGAAGGTAGCGATCCGCGGGTCAAGTACAGGTATACTCGTACGTTTACGAGGAAAAACGAAAATTTGAATAATACCGTTGAACGACGACGAGTTTAACCTAGTCTATACGGTGAACAGGTTATGGCAACGATTCGTCGGTGAATGAACGTTCGGATGAATTGGAAAAGAGGGAAAAATGAAAAGGTGAAAAGAACGGGACTAGATGGAATCGTAGCGAACGTAGAAATGAAAGGATGAGAATGAAGAGATGCAGAAAGGAGGTGAACGGGCCGCGGAAGGGGCAGAGAGGTAGGAGGGAGGGAGAGTTGATAACATGCCAGCTGTGCGCAGGAACGAGAGGTTAGGTTAGAATTGGCGTTTGGGGGTCGCGAGGTCAGCCCACGGGATCGAACGACCGTACGAGATAGAGGGAACGAACGGTGAAGACGGCGCACAAGTACGTGTCCGTGTTCGAAGGGGAAACTAAAGAAGAGGAGAGAGAGATGGAGAGGGGGGATGAAAGAG